CTCGGTGCAGCAAAACCTTTTCATCCAGCTGGAGAAGAACGCCCTGGAACGGCTTCTTTCCTTCTTCTTCTGCGATCCTGCGGTACCCCGTTCGTCGGTGCACCTGAAAACGCTCAACCACGTGTCGTTGAAGACGGCGAGCAACAGCTCGTACTGGGAGGTGTTGATTAACCGAACCCTCCCGATTCCCCCTTCCATAGGGGCCTCTAGTATACTTCACGATTGGGTTTCCGCCGCCGCGACGCGCGCGATCCCCGCGCTGCGGGATCACCGAAGTTCGGATACCCGTCAACGCACGATCGTGCAAATCACGGAGGATGTGTGCAACCTGCAGGATCCCCTCTCGCTCGATGCCGCGGGGATCCCGGAACGGTTCTACGAGGCGACGCTGGACGAGATCGCCGCCGCCGCGGGGAAAGGCGAGCCGGCACCCAATCCCCTCCACACCCCGGAGGCGGGGACCGCCGAGGCGACGGATCCATCGCGGGAGGCCCCTTCCTCTTCTCCTCTTCTTCCGTCGGACGGGCTTTTATCGATCGTGCGCTCCTTCGCGTACAGCGAGGGCCTCATGCGGGATCTCACGGGGGTGGTGGATTCCATGCGTGGGTTACGCCGCCTCGCGCTACGCCAGCACAACCTCGCCGACCTCTCCCCACTCCTCCAGCTCGACAGCCTCGAGGAGCTCGACGTGCAGGGGAACTGCGTGGTGGAGCTGCCGAAGTTGAGCGAGCTCGCGAGGCTTTGCCGGCTGGATATTTCGTCTAATCTCATCTCCTCCCTCGCGCCGATGGGGGTGCTGCCGCAGCTCCAGATGCTCTGCGCGAGCGGCAACGCGTTGGTGGAGCTCGAGGGCGACTTCCTCGCGCAGCTGCGCGGCCTCGAGGAGCTCTACCTCGCCTCCAATCAGTTCGCCTCGATCAACAGCTTTTACGCGATCAAAGACCTGCCGGAGCTGCTGGTGTTGGATTTGAGCGGGAATCCCTGCATGACGGGGATCACGCCGCCCTCTTTGGCCGTCCCTCGCTCCGGCACCAACGAGTTCGCCTGCCACTACATCATCTACCACTTCGCGAACCTCAAAGTCCTGAACGACCTCTCCATCTCGCCGGAGGAGCAACAGGCCGCGCACGAGGAGTTCGCCGGGCGGATCAGCGCCGACCTCCTGGCGGAGCGCGCGCACGCCGCGCCGGGGCTGTGGCCGACCCTCCCCGAACTCGACCTCTCCCATTGCATGCTGAAGGAGGTGAGCATGATCACGGCCTTCCCCGCGCTGAAGGTGCTCCACCTCCACCACAACCTCCTCTCCCAGGTGGAAGGGGTGGGGAGTTTGTGCAATTTGCGCGTCCTGGACCTCTCGTTTAATCGGCTGGGCGGGCTCACGCCGGCAGGGAGGGGGCTCGGCGCGGCCCTCCAGCCCCTCCTCCACCTCGAATCCCTCTCCCTGGAGGCGAACCACATCACGAGCCTGGAGGCCCTCGCGCTGGACCTCCCGCGGCTGCACTTCCTCAACCTCAAGGGCAACGAGTTGCAGTACCTCGACGGCGGCTTCGAGCGCCTCCCCCGGCTGATGGAGCTGATCCTCGATCAGAATAAACTGCGAACGATCGGCGCCGACAGCCTCGCGGCGTGCGGCGGCAGCCTCGCGTGTTTCTCCGCCGAGGAGAACGCGATTCGATCGACCGAGGGGTTGGCCCCGCTCCGGCGGCTCGAGCAGCTCTCCCTCGGCCTCAACCGCCTCGGGGATCTCCCGCAGCTGCTCGGCCACCTCGCCGGGAGCGCGGGCTCGCTCATGGAAGCCGTCTTCGCCGGGAACCCCCTCACGCGGAAGTCGAATTACCGCCAAAAGGTCGTCCTCGCGTTTCCCCGCCTCCGGGCGCTCGACCACCGCGTCGTCTCCGCGGAGGATCGCCGGCGGGCCGAGGTCGTGAAGCGCCACGAGTGCGTGGTGCCGCCGAACGTTTTCCTCGACCTCGGCG